GAGAGAGAGAGAGAGAGATTTTGCAAGTGAAAACTGACACAACAGAGAACAAGCATATTTTTCCTCGCGTTCATTACCTTCAGAACCACGTTGCTGGGCGGAGTGTCGTAGACGCCCACTTCGGACGCCATCACCATCATGTTATCCTTGGTGACGTAGAAACGCGACGGGCGCAGGCCGTTTCTGCCAAACAAAAATTCAAAAAATTCTGTATTTTGTATTAATAATCGCCGGTCACTCTCTGTCGACTATCTGCCGCTAATATCGACCGATTAATAGCTACTCTATTCTCTTCTTCCTTTTCCCCTATTCACCTTGCCATCCGTCAATGTACGTACTCTTCTCAATCTATCTTTTCAATCTATCTTTCGCTGTTAGCAAGTTAATTAAATCAAACGCACAAACGCATGGATTCTTCCATCTCTGTAGGAAGCGATGGAGAAGCAAAAAAATGCCTCTTTTTTTAGTTTGCGATATACATTCCTCATTCGTACGTTTATCGTATGTTCCTCCGTTTACAGTAGCCGTTTTCTAATTTCTTATTATACCAATGCGAATCTAAATGCGATAGCTTTCTCGCTGGAGCTCGGTATAATTCACGTTTGCCACATTTTTCAAGTTTCGTACGTGTTGTACGTTATACAATTATATTCAAAGGTATTTCCATGTCTGTACTATTCGCACACGATGATACATACGTAAACGCGTGTCGTGGGACATATGTACATAGATATTTACATAAAATTAATCTACATAAAATGTACATATCATTTATCGCACTTGTATCCTTCGAGCAACACTTTGAATTCATACCTGTTACCAACTAATACCAACTATTTTTTTTGTTTTCTACGACAATGTCTACGATGCAAACGCAGATCTTATTGGCATTTCAAATACACGTGGAACGTGGAAACGAGTGAGAAATAAGAAAAGAAGACTTCTCATTGGTGAGAAGAGTAACAAAGATTACAAATATCAGAGGCTCTACCTGTCCAAAATGGCGCCAACGTAACGTCCGTCTGTGAATGTCAAAAGAGCAGGACCGTCCCAGGGTTCCATCGCGCAAGCAGCCCAGTGATAAAAGTCGCGTTTCTCCGCTGCCATGGTCAGGTCATTTTGCCACGCTTCTGGTACCATTGTCATCACTGCCTAAATACATACGTATATATATATATATTTTTTTTT